TCAGTGTCATCTGGGAGCTGCTGGAGTGCAGCTCTCCACTTGAAGATACTGAGTGTTTTGCCTTCAAAGGTGATATGCATGTGATCATCACTGACAAGGGTGGTCGAAGGTCGTGGTGACGCATAGGCCAGGTAACTGGCAAGTCTTTGATATTCACAAATAGTGCGATAAGGTGTTGATCGTTGTGAATGCAATGCAATATCTGCCTCTGTCTCCATGGCACTATAAATCTACATCAGCTGAATGAAATCTTGGTGAAGGTGGAAAGAACATACAGTGTAGGCTCTTTGCCATTGATTTTGACATGGTGGGAATTCTCAAACAACACAGTGCCACAAATAAGATACGCTACCTTGCAAAAAGCCCTGTCACATCCTTGGCAGGTGGGAAAATGCCACCCTCCCTCAAACAAAGGACGGCACATAAACATTCAATGGGTTGGGACCATTTTGAGACCCACTTTGCTGGGTCATCAATTGTCCGAGGGCAAAAGAAGGGTTTGATGAACTGGTGGAGAACCAAGACATCAGGTGAGCAACTTCCAACTTTCAAACAGGCAAGCAACCTCCAGGCTCGAGCAATATCACCAGCATCAACCCCAAACCATTTGAGTCTTTGAGGCAGTTCAAGTGAGCGCAGGACACCAAGGCAGATGGATTGCACAACACGCCCATAATCATGTCTTGTCTCTTTATTATCAAGCACACGCCATGCCTTGCCATCAATAGGAGGACTGGGAGGGATAATGTTAATGTCGGTTAATTTGGGGCATAGATCAACTCACTCAGGCCATTGCATGAGGATTTTTCGTAAACGAATATCTGATATATTACCCAGACTCCAACATTCATCTAAATACAAGTCAGTGAGGTGGTGAAGAGCCTTGGTCCACAAATTATCCTGGTTCTTTGGGATCTGGATGGCTTGAATGATGTCTGAGACAATGTAGGGGTCCTTCATGGCATCTTGGAGATATTCATGCCATTGGGTTTGTTGAAGAAATGGGGAAAGTTCATGATCGGTGGGTGGGAGGTTGAAAGCTGGTAACTCTCCCAACTTGGGCAATGTTTAGGTAATGAAAAGGTGATAGGGATCTAGGGGTTTATCTGGAGGGGATTGTGCCACTTGGAAATAGTGCCTATGATGCTGAAAGATGGTTTGCAGGTCTCCACGGAGGAAGCATCCTTCTTGAAACATGCCATGGGTGATGTGATGGATATCTCCCCAGTGAATGCGAACAGTGTCTTTGGATGGAGCACAAAAGTCACATTGAGCACATACATATCCATTATGGTGAATGGGAAGACAGGGTATGGCAAATGTTTTGTTGGAAGGAATAACAAGGTCCCGGGCATCACGAAGAACATTTTGGGAGCACCACAAGTCATGCAGAGTTTCACGAAGATGTGTTGGAACAAGGCTGTCATGGATATCTTCCAAGTGATAGATGACAGAGGACGGAAGGAGTGCTCGCTGGCAAGGCAGACAGATGATCACCTTGAGGGTTGATAAGATGCGGAAAGGTAAAAATTTTAACACTTCCAGATCTGCAAAAGGGTGATGTGCTACATCAATGTCCATTTTATATGCTATGGCATGAGGTTGGACAAGGTCAGGTAGAGCTGAGGCTGAATTTTGGCTCAGAGCAGGGGGGTCAACATTGGGATCTTCCGGTATTAACAGTGTCTTGATAGTGATTGATTTTTCTGGAATGCCATGGGACTTTTCAAGATGTCTTTTGAGACCATCAGAGGTCAAGCTGAGTGTAGGGCACTCTGATATGGGACAGTGGATGGGATCATTGGGTGTGTTGCGGCGAATTTCATGTTTTTCAGCAGCTTAGAGATAATGGGAACTAATTAAGCATGTAAAGAAGGAGTAAACAGTGACATACCCCATTTGAACTCATATAGCAGCCCATGTGTTCTTTTCATGTGCCGGGGAAGATCCCTTAAAAGCTCATTGCAGGTCCAGCAAGATATTCTAGATGGGTTTTAGCATTCATTGGCAATGTTATAAAAGATACACACTCTAGCAAGGTATTGGATGACATGAAGATGTTGGAAGCCTTGATTATTAGGCTTGTTTTTGAAGGGAGTTGTGGGATCCGGGAGTGAGATTTGCATGCTGACTAAATATGTGCTGACTAAATATGCTTCCGTGAAAGACTTGGAATGGAATGAAATGTAGCCATAAGCATACATTAACATTGGACAGATAAAAAGAATTTGAGCTAGAGTTGCAGAGTCGATGTGGCAGTTCAGGTCCCAATATAGATGCCACCATGTACCTCTGCAGGCATGTTGAAGATGTGGCAGAATATAGACGCCAGCATGTACCTCTGCACCGTGGTGAATGGGGACAGGCACTTGGAAAATGTGGCAGAATATAGACGCCAGCATGTACCTCTGCACCATGGTGGATGGGGACAGGCACTTGGAAATGTGGCAGAATATAGACGCCAGCATGTACCTCTGCACCATGGTGAATGGGGACAGGCACTTGAAAAATGTGGCAGAATATAGACACCAGCATGTACCTCTGCACTGTGGTGAATGGGGACAGGCACTTGGAAGATGTGGCAGAATATAAATGCTAGCATGTACCTCTGCACTGTGGTGAATGGGGAGGGGAACTTGGAAAATGGGTAAGGCACCAATATAAATGGCAGCATCTACCTTGGTAAGGTGGTGAATGACATGAGTGACATGGCCTATCCACAGCTACTACACCAATCTAATGCCAGACTATATCTGTGAGACAGGCAACATAATTTTTCTCAACCTGGAGCAGAAGGGCTGCTGCATCACTATAATGGGTATTTTAATAGTGTTACACTCATACAGACTTTGGCCATAGCACCTTTCCATTCCAATACAGAGGCTATACAGAGGCACTGGCAAAGTAACTTCACTCAGTGCGAAACCCGGGGCGATGTAACGTACACTCTAATCCGGTGTTCCTATGCCAAAAAATGTACTGGCTGGGAATTGAACCCAGGACCAATGGTAACATACACTTCGCATTTTACCACTAAGCCAACAGTGCCACTGTGAATTCTCCCTTCCTTGCACATACCTGCCCTAAAACTAAACCCTAACACTAAACACCAATAATAAAAATAGGAAATAATTGGCATACACCACAAATGACAATTTTGAAATGATTCTAAGCTTTGAATAAATGAAAAAATTCACACTGGTTTCTGGACTGGGTGTTGGTAGCCCGGACTAGGCACCTGTAGCCTGGACTGGGCACGGACTGGGTGCTTGTAGCCAGGTAGAAAGATTGTGAGAGTGAGTGCCCATGGAGCCCTGGGGATCCACACATCCATGGGATCATGCTACCCACACAAGAACAGTGGTTTGAGCACTTTTTCAGAAAATATATATATCAACTACCCTAACACTAACACTAACACTAACACTAACACTAACACTAACACTAACTCCTAACATTCTAACTCTAACTCCTAACAGCCAAAATCTTGTCAAATCTTTACCTGGGCAAGCCAGGTAAAGCTTCGACTAGATTTTGGCAAGGGGCTTTGCCATCTGTTTCGATGATGATGTTATATACCACTCCCACGACCTGAACTCCCACTATTTTTGTCTGGTCCCATGGATACCCCGACTACTTCAGACGTCCATCCTTATTGCCAAGTTGCAGCAACGACAACGGACAACTGATTCATTAGTTCAACCTATTGCAAAATCTCAACATAGAACTTCAGTCATTCCCGTTTCTTCCTGAACCATATCTGGACAACCTTATACATACTATTGCCTCGTGTTCTCGTCTTGACAACTATACGATGACATCCGTCTGCTACCCTTGTTCTCTCATATTGGCAGCCAAGTCTCTTGATCTGTGCATCACAATTATATCTGGGCATAAAATCACACGAAGGAGTGTCTAAAATGTTCAATAAATACTTTTTCAACATATTTTTAATTTGTGTGTTACCATTTATTTCTTATTTTTGGTATAAGGAGGTAAACTGGAGGTTAATGTCCTAAGCAATACTTGAAGTTGCACAGTCCAAAATTATCGAAAACTGTATTACTATTATATTCGATTTATACAACCAAGAAAAATCCTTGAGAATTATCTCGTTGACCAGCTTTTACCTCCAAACCCCGGGAAAGGGCAAAACTTTGGCGCTGACAGGTCTGCTAAAGTGTTACACTATTCATATAACAATTTCGAACCGTGGATTATTTCCTGATCCCAACATGAAAGAGGACAATCCTGAAGGCCCGGAGGGCATGTAGGAACCTTTTAAACACCTCCACACGTGTAAGAGTAGGCGACTTCCCATGACATATGGAACGGCCGCTGCCCATCTGTTTATATAAGGAAAATGAAAATGAGTGAAGAGGATTATCCTGACCAGATTGCACTACGTACGGGACAAAGACTTCATCAATGTTTGAGGGAGCTACAGCTACAGCAAGCATGTTCGCCATCATGATGAGGAAAGCACTATGAACAGCTGGTCACTATTGCAAAATTTATTGGAAAGGGCTTAAAGCGCACCTTAAAAAAAAAATAACACTTTCACCAGAATTAGCATGGGCAATCTTAACAAATATAATAGAAGCATACCTATTCCAAAGTATGCTTTTGAGAAGCTTGGATTGTCCACCCTGCCGGTGTAGCAGCTATGCTTTGTACAGCATGAAGCTGCAGAGAATAGTCTCTGAGATTACAATGGAGAGCCAGGATCCGATGAAAGTGGACGGAGAAGAGATTGTTAGATAGCATCCCGTCTGTGGCGGGGCTACAGGCAATACTTATGTGAGAATATATTATTATCCACAATACTATCTCATTCAATGATTGATACCTACACTTCAACCCTGAGGTATAGTCTGATGAAACCACACCACCAACTGACGAGGAAAGTAGGAGAGTGGCGGCAATGGCTGGGATTTTCTTATTGCATCCATAGACCGTGTGTATCTATTTTGATGATAGATAAGGTCCCATGGTAGCAGTGAAAAGATTGAATCACACGGAGGAGAAGGATAACTGAAACATTTAAACAGGGTTAAAGGAGTCAGATTATGCATGTCCATCATTTTACTGACCTTCAAAGAAGAACTGTAGTCGCTATAAATCTAAGAGGTACTATTGAGTAGTAGAGGAGATAGAGGCGAGAAAGCTTAACAATGGTATGCATGCATCAAGATATTTAGCAGTGGTACTGCGTCGCCGGTGAGTCCAGACCTCTCTATAAAATAATGAGTGTTAGCAAGTTATTTATAGAGAGAAGGTCTTACTGGAGGGGGCAAGATTTCCTTCACTATCGACACGCCCAGCATAGAGTTTGCATTCCTTGGCGACAGGGATGATCCCGACATGCCTGGAGGCGCCATTTGTGAGATGAGCGAGGGGAAGAGTGTGGAAGGGGAAGCATCATACCTCGACATTGCCAATATGGTGCTTGCAACCCTAGTCAGGGAATTAGTGTTATCATTTGGGGGGGGGGGTCCACACTGACTGAGTGATACTATAATATCACAGACTTCGCATTTCTTCTGAAAGAGTCACGCAAAAAGGACAGGAAATAATTCTTGTATTTCAATATCCTTACCTTTCAGATGTGGATTTATCTACAGGATAAAATGTTAATTGTATGCGGAATAAATCTCATAATATCGCTGCTCTAGCATAATTGGCGTAATTCTTTGCAGGCAGTGGAGTAGCAAGGAGGCACAGTCGGTAAGTCCTTTCAATCAGGAAAACACTTTCACTCCCGTAGCGCTATTCTTTCAGAAGGTAAACATTCACAAAACACATTTTATTTGAAGACTGCTAAGAGGTCACATCAATGGCAAATGTAGCAAGTCAGTCGGGTCTCAACCAGAAACCTGTTACATTAGCGCATGCTAGCACACAATAGCGCTACTGAGCGCTAGTTGTCAACAAGCCCGCTCACTGGCTCTTTGTCCCTCTCCCATATTAAATTCATAAGTAATTATTCAGACAGTGTGTCATCTGATTATCCACCTCTGCATACCCACATATACATTCATCTACCCTATGGCAGCCCCCCTTTGGCCAGAGCGAGCCTGTACTCCTCCTCATCAAATATCCAGGTATACAAACAAAAGAAAGCATGATCACATTTAGACCTTCACAAACCAATCATATACATCAAATTATAGCTTATTGTATTGTTAAATAAGTGAGAGCCCCTTCCTAGTATGTAGCTCCCTGTTCCTCTTCCCATACCAAATAGCAAAATTATTAACCAAGAATGCAATGATTCCTGATAATGGGTTCCCCAGATTATTTACCTCTGGGTACCCACAGATATTGTTATCTAAGCCAGAGTGGTCACTCTTCAGCCAGAGCAGCCATGTCCACCTCCTCATAAGACATCGAGTTATATAAAATGAACGGGGGAATGAAGATCATATCTGATCACTGATGCTTAATATTATAGCCGAGATATGATTTGATTACATCATTATATAACTGAGAGGCACCCCCTTCCCCACTATGCAGCTTCCTGGTTCTTCTCACATATCAAATAGCTAGAATATTAACGGAGCAGACAGCCATTCTGGATGAGGTTGAAAACACTATATTATTATATTTGTATAAATATCCAGAAGCACTCTGACTGAAGCCTTAGCGGTGCCCCTTCCGGCTGAGCAGACCTGTTCTCCTCGTCATACTAGCTATGTTCTTGCGCTGAGTAGGCACGCATCGCCAATGAGTCGCCTGACGCATTGTAATGTTTTTCAATTTTTTTTTTTTTTTGCGCCGAGTTGCATCGCTGACTAGATGCCTGGCGTACCGTGTAATGTTTTTCATATTTATTTATTTTTTTGCGCCGAGTAAGCACGCATCGCCGATTAGATGCCTGGTGCAGTGTAATGTTTTTCCATCATTTTTTTTTTTTTTTTGCGCTGAGTAAGCGCGCATCGCCGATTAGTCGCCCGGCGCACAGTAATGTTTTTCATATTTTTTTTTTTTGTGCCAAGTAGGTGCACATCGCCGATTAGTCGCCCGGCGCACAGTAATGTTTTTGATATTATTTTTTTTTGCGCCGAGTAGGCGCACATCGCCGACTAGACGCCTGGCGCACTCTGTAATGTTTTTCATAAAATCTTTTCTTTGCGCCGAGTAGGCGCGCATCGCCGATTAGACGCCCGGCGCAATGTAATGTTTTTCCACCAAAATTTTTTTTTTGCGCCGAGTAAGCGCGCATCGCCGATTAGGTGCCCGGTGCACCCCTACATTTTGCGGAAAATGTATAAAAAATGGGCGCCTAACTCACTTTGCGCCGGGCGCTTAACTAGGCGCGCATCGTCGCGCGGCGCAAGGCGGGTACCCGCCTCACATAATAATAGGGTTAGGAAATTTTGGGAAAATGATGATTTTGTGGCAGTAATCTTGCTCAGAAAATCTTGATAGTATTCAATATTTCTTCAGTGTTTGTTGATAAGGAAATCTTAGCTAAATCTGGAGTTTTTCCAATGTTTGTGTGCTCAGGAAATTCTAACATAATTCAGCATTTCCTCAGGGTAATGTCAGCCAAGAAATCTTGAACAAATCCGAAATTTCTGTGCTGTTTGTATTTTCGGAAATTCTAAAGTGATTTGATGGTTCCCCATGATAATCTCAGCTAGGAAATCTTGAACAAACCCATTATTTTCTGTACATTTGTGTTTTTAAAAAGCTAGGTAAATGCATATAATTTTATGAACATTTCTGACCTCAGGAAATCTTGTGAAAACTCTGAATACATACACATTTTCCAATTTCAGGAAATGTTAACACAATTCAATTTTTCATGCTTCAGGAAATCTTCAAATTAATCAACATTTCATGTCAATTTTTGCCCCAAGAAATGCTAATACTATTTGCCAGAGGCATAAGGTTTCCTGGGACTTTTAGGCTCAGGAAATTTTATGCTGTCTCCAGTGGAAGAAGGTATCATCGACGTAGGCCCCTCCGTTCTGACCTGGGCCTTCTGGGATGGAGACGAGTAGGTGGTTGTAGATCAGGTATAGCAGCATGGAGCCTGGCTC